AGAAGGCCTAGACGGCAGGGTTGGGTGGTTGCATGCAGCTGGCTCACACAAGTCCTTTAGCAGCTTTTGTAGAGTCTAGTCTACATATAAAACGTATTAACATTTAACAGCTCACCCAAGACAAGGTTTTAAGTAAATAATAATAATAATAATAATTTTTAATGTATTAAATTAATATTAAAAAAATATTTTTTAAATTTTTAAAAAATAATTTTAAAATATATAAAAACTAATAAAATTAAAGACAGTTTAGTCTACATATTTCCCAAGTGCATGTAAAACGTATTAACATTCAACAGCCAGCCTAGATGATCCTCTTTCCTCCTTGCTTTACACTGGTATGGGCTAAGCAAAACTTATTTATTCGTTTTTTCTCCAAGCCTATGACCTTCCAAAATGAATGGTAAAAAAACCACGGCACAAAAGGAGATTTTTTTTTTTTTGAACATTAAGAATTAAGAGAATAAAAATATTTTTTTAAAATAGATAAAAATTAAACTCTCAATTAACTAAATTTAAAGATTTATAATTTAAAAATAAATCACTAGGTCTATTCACAAAAAAAAAAAAAAAAAACTCTCAATTAACTAAATTTAAATATTTATAATTTAAAAATAAATCACTAGGTTCATTCACAAAAAAAAAAGAAAAAAAAAAAAAGAGATTATTCTAAAAAGCTTAACCAAACATAATAATTAGAGATGCGTGATGTTCACGTGACTAGGCTTCTTTTTTCAACCCTTAAATTCTTTTAGTCAATTGACTAACAATACCTATGACTTTAAGCTCCAAGCACACAAGACAATACCGTGTTTGGGTGAGGATATCACCTCTCTATTTCTGTCTCTCCCTGAGTTTTAGGTAGAAACCAACTACCGTGAGTTTCCAAGACAAAGAATACGACTGCATTGGGAAGTACATCTGCATAGACCTTGGTTTTAACAAAAATATTTGGGTTAGTTTGTTATGTTTTGTGGGAATAGGTTTATTGGGTTTCCCAAACAAAAATCTGTTAAAAAGTCCTAAGAAATTGAAGAAAACAAAGGAACAAGAGCTGTATCAAACATGAACATGGGGAAACAAGAACCCATGAAGGCATGAACTATAAAATTGTTTTCATGGGTTTTTGCAAGTGCAAAGTCCAAACAGAGTGTAATCCCAAAGGCATGTCTTATCAGCTTTTCTTCCAGCTCGAAGTAAACAAGAAATAAAAATTTCTCAAGTAGCCACCATGCCTGTCCAACCCTTGTCCCTCTCCCTACTCCCCTTCTTTGAGAGGTGTCTCCAGATGAAATACGTAGTACCTAGTGCGCCAAGAGTTTTTCTCTAGGTCTGGTGTTTCCAAAACTCTCTCTCCCTTAATTTTTTTTTTTTTAAAAAGTGGAAAGGGTCATCTTCTCATCTCATTGGTATCTGTTCTCCGAACCTCTGCTTTCTCTTTAATTTGGTCTTTGTATTAATGGAAAAAATAAAAGATTGGAACTACCATATTGTTTTCTTCCCTTGAAATTAATTAGATGGTCTTTAATCATTTCAGTCTTATTTTGTCGGATTTAATGAAGATGGATACTACAAACCAAAATGGGTTGGTCTAGATATACAAATTTATGAGACTTAAATGGTCCCTACTCATCATCTTTTAACTAAAAAAAGTTTAAAAGTGAACCCTTTTTTTTTCTAGTTTTAGCAATAGGGTTTTTTTTTTTCCTAAATTATTACACAATTTTAATGTTCGCTTTAATTGTTAAGAATAGATATTAAAAAGAACTTTTAATAATATTTATAAGACATTATATTTCGAGAAAAGTAAAAATGAAGACATTTTAACTTTTAAATTATCAAAATTAGTTATAAAACTATTCAAATACTTAATAAGATTTTTTTTATATTATTTCATTAAAAATATTTAAATACTATTATTACTTTAATATTTTAATTATCAAAATATCTTAATTTTTTACAATCCTTTATATATATATATTTCAAAAATATAAATGGATTTCAAATTCTCAAAAAAGAGGAAAAAATTCAAATTGTAAACTTTACTACCATCTAAAATGAATTGCACATGTCACGTGTAAACATGCCCTGTCTTTGTTTTTTTTTTTTTAACACTTTGTTATAAAACGGGAAGGAACTCATAAAAAAAATATTTATTCAATGTGATTTTTTTTTTTTGACAAGGTAATGATTAGACAATTAGTATGAATTAGTTGTTGGCGATTGGTTTTCAGATCGGATGAACATTTCACCTCTTTAAATGAGGCGTGTGGTTATCAGATCGCTTTTTGGTGGAGTTCACGATGGTGGTGGAATTCGAAACTTTAATCACCTCACCCAAATACTTAATGTTTGGGATCGAACTATTGGATCTAAATGTCCGGTTACAATGTGATTAATATAGTAGGTTATGCGAGTGTAAGCATGTCCTTTTGGCGTAATGAAAAAGCTAAGAATGAATTTTACAGCATTGAAGGTCCGAATTTAAGCCCCACCAATAATTAACACGTGGACGATGGACAAGGGTTTTCCTGACTTTTTATTATTATTTTTTAATACTGAAGTGAAATGGGTTTTCCTGACTCGAAACCTAGCAAAATAAAGATGCTAAAAATAATAACCCAAACTAACGGATGTTATCATGACATGAAAATATTTTAATGGGTTTACCTAATTTATATTTTTTATAATTAATTTATAATAAAATTTTTAAAAATTAATAAATATTTTAACATTATTAATACGTGAATTATTTTAATAAATTAATTAAATTAAAGTCAATGTTTTTATTTTTAATAAAAATTAATTATAAAAAAGATGTTTATTATATTTTTATTATGTACTTATAATATATAATAGAAAATTCCTATTTTAATTACTAATTAGTTGGAATTGGAGCTCCAGCCTCCACTCATGGCATCCATTAGCAAATTCGAAACGTCCCACAACCCCATGAGGCAAAAAAAGGAGTGTTTTTACGAAGAAAGAGCTCTGAGTATTATATACATGATTATATGTTTTTGGCAACGAGAAGATGACAAAAGACAAGTGAGATTGATAAACCCTAGAAGGAATTAATTCTATATATAACACCTAGAGATGCTTCTTGCATCATCATTTTCAATAGTTTAATGGTGTGAAATCTCCAATTTAGGCATGTTAATCAAAGCTTAATAGCCATTAATCAAGGGCGTTTTTGACAATTAATGTTTCCTAAGTGTTAGGTCAATTCTAGTACATGATTCTACGTGAATAGTTATATGGGTTTGTTGCGTTTTTTTACATACCGAAACATCAAGACCTGTTCAAAAGCAAGCTTATGTCACATGCAAGGAATTAAAAAATGAGGGAAAAGATTGATTAGATAAATGATTAATGTGGATTCTTATGTTTCACACAAAAAAAAAAAATTAACAATTGGTGCGCGATTTTCGAATATTCGCACGCATTAGACCTATTGATATTATATAATGCTCTTTGCTTAGCTTCTTACTTTAAGCATTGAGAGGTTCAAAC